AACTATTTATAAAAAATAAAAACCTAATTAAACAAGGACTCTATTTTCTGGAAATCTGCCAAAACGCGGCTGGGTCGATGGAACTCGCGACGGATCGTCGTGGTCACGATGGACCGTCATGGACTCTGTTGTCCCATACTTATGCAATTTCTTCTGCTGCTCTCTTCATTACCCTCGACGGCATGTATGACGGATTGTCATAGGCACAACGGTCCGTCGAGGGTCTTCGTTTCAAAACACTTGAACTCTTGGAATATGGGTACTGGGACTACTTCTCTGAACTTCATGACGAACCTGTAGGAAGGACCGTCATAGACACGACGGACCATCATGAACTCCGTAGCCCCACACTTGGTAAGACTTCCCCATCCTTCTTCAGCAGCTGCACTACGCTGCCACCTACGGACTGTCACAAGCACGACGGACCGTCATAAGCTCTGTAGGTGGTCTCTTCTGCATTTCTTCGCTCAAAATCTCCACATTCATCTTTGGACAGATAACTTGTAAAATAAAGAGAAACTTATATAAAAATTAGCACAAAAAGGCTTTTGGACGCACTAAACTTAAGGAAAAAGTATTAATAATACCGTGAAACCACGGTATATTATTAGGCTCTATTTAACCTAGGTCATCTGAGGGGTCTTACAAGTACTCCTTGTTAGTAGAGAATGAGTTACTGAGTAGCCATCTCATTATCCCTTAACTATGCGCCCGCATGATGTAGCTATTGGGAAAGACATGTAAAATCTAAGAGAATTGCCTTACTCTAGGCAATTTAGTATCCCTCATTCGATAGGGTTTAATATCGTAATTCCATGTCTAGCTCTCATGGTCTATGTCGGTTAAGCTTACCGCAACAAAAGAAATGAAAATGTTGTCTTCTAAAAGAGTGTACTACTTAGGGAAGGCACTGGAATGGGATGCTATTTATCCATTTAACTAGGTAGGCATTCTGAAAGGGGAGTCTTTGTGAGCCTTATGTGAATTGAATGAACTAAGTCTCCTAAAAGGACGTACTACTTAGGGTAGGTAGTGGAATGGAATGCTATCTATCCATTGCACTAAGTAGACCTTCTGAAAGGGGGGTCTTGGTGCCAAGCCTTATAAAAGAGTGTCCTACTTAGGGTAGGTGGTGGTATGGGATGTCATCTACTCATTTCACTAAGTAGACATTCCGAAAGGGATGTCCTGGTGGGTTGTTTGGGTGTTCTTCTAATGTCTTGTCATTGAGTGGGGCTTGTTCTCCTGAGGTGAGTAAGTCGAAAAGGGGTAGTCTTGAGGATCGTCTTGGTGTTTATTTAAAGTGGCATATGCGTACTTCCTTCATGTTTTAACTTGGTGAGTCTTAGGATAATCTTTAGTTAGGGAAACTCCTACGGAAATGAGTTCACATTCTATTTGCTTGGCCTTGGAAGTTCATTCCTTTAAAATAGGATAGTTCACTGTTTAGTCAAAATCAGCTTACTGTAATATTTTTGTTGTTTCACTGTAAAGTGTTCCTTTTTGTTAAAATTATGGAAATTCTTATCTAAGTGTTAAATGATGATTCTTATGTTGTTTTACTTCTATATTCATGAATGTCTTACTAAAGTGGCATGAAATTGTATTTATACTAAAACTGTCCCTTTTTGCATATGTCATACTTAGTACATTGTTTTGTACTAACCCCATACTTTTCTATACTCTATAAGTATAGGTCGGAACATTTTGGAAGATTGAAGACGAAGCTTGGGAAATCTACTCTCTCAAGATTTGGTATGTCCTCATATAGTCAAGGACATAGTCTATATTTTTCTTAGTTTTAATATTAAGACTTATTATGTATTTTTCTTTCAATGTAAAGGGTCGTGTCCCTAACATATTGAATCGTGTCTTTAAATTGGTTTGTGCTGATTAGATTCTCTGAATATTTATGAAAGACTGGTTTTATTATTTAATTTTGTGAAAAGTTTTAAATTCTGCACTACTTTTCATGTCTTATGTAATGAACGATAGTTAAGGGCTAGTACAAGACCCCAAAGGGTCAAGTATGCCCAGTCATGACCTAAGGGTTCTCCCTAACTTCTAGAGGGTACTTTCGGATCGTGACAACAACATGCATAGTACAACTAAAGGGAGGATTCCTAAAATGAGATTAACAAAGTACATTTCATCAAAGTTTTTCGATACACACAAACTCCTAAAGAATGGTGATATAAATGTACAACAGTTTAGTTCAAGTGACAATATGACTGACATATTCACCAAATCTCTACTAACTAAAACTTTCAAGAAGATGGTGCACAAGCTTGGAATGCGAAGATTCAAGTCTTTGGATTGATATTCTCATTAGGGGAGTTAATATGCGATGTACTTTTTTTCTTACAAGGTTTTGTCCCACTAAATTTTCGTTGTAAGCTTTTTAATGAGGCAACCTAGATGTGTATTCCTTTTCTTCACTAGATTTGTCTCCTTTTTTAAAAAAAAATTAGTATGATTTTTAACGATGCACATAATTTATGAAATAGACATTCAAGGGGGAGTGTTATAAATATAGTGAATGTCTATATGTTATACAATATTTAGGAACCCAATCTTTGGGATCAAGTCAATTTTCCCTATAAAAAGAGGAGTCCTCTTTATTTTAAAATTATCCCTCAAGAGAAATAATAAGTCTTCTCTCTTCTCCCTACTTTCTTCATCTTATTTTATAGTTTCATAACAATTTAATTTAATTAAAACTTTTATAATAGATATTTATAATAATTTCTTTTTACAAATAATTTTAACATTAAAAAGTATATTTGATACTTGTCTTTTTCGTAATTTGACTCTTAAAAATACTTTATACTGATTATACAAACACAGTTTCTTATCAAAAACATTTTAAAATGAATTTACCAAACATAAATTGTTTTTTTTCAAATGTACTTTTTTGAAAAACTATTTTTTAAAATAAATGCTTCTAAAAAGGGCAGTTTTTAATAGGCCGAACAGGCTCTTAGTTTTTTTATGTTCTTTAAATAGAAATAAATCACTTCTTCGACAAATACTTGAAAGGTGTTAAGTATCCCCTCTTAACGATCACTCATTAACTTTCAAAGTAAGCAATCGTGCTTCAATATAACAGTTTTCCTCTTTGTCATAAGGTATTTCAAATATATATAGTGGATCATTAGGAATGTATTTAGAATCTCTGTAAATTTGCTTTTAATTAAACATTATATAAATTGTATGTTTTAATTAAATTTCTTATATATTTAATTATTTTTTATGTAATATATTTATAATATTAATTTTAGATATAAAATTTAGCTTTTCTGTAAACTAATTTTGCTATATATGATTTTTTAAGAAAAATTATGTTAATTCTACTATAAATTATATAAACTACAATTAATTTTAACAACAATTAACAATGTAAACATATAAAATTATAAGCAAATAATACAATGTAATTAAAAATAACCGAAAATAATAAATATTCAACAAAGAAATAATTGACATTCAATTATTTAATATTTATTTAATTGTATTTCATTAATCATTTTACTTTTATTTGTATTATCCATTATTATGTATAACGTATAGTTTGTGCTAGTAATTTATATTATTCAAAAGATTATGGTACAAAATCATTTTATATTAAACAATTATAAAAGGAAATAATATGAATTATGTATAATGATTGTTTTTAAAAGAATTTGTTTAATGAAATAAGAAAATATAAATGAAATAAGAAATAGTAATATAATAATGAAGAGAAAGAAACGATTTTTTTAATGTAAAATTTAGTATAGTAGGATCAAATTTGGTGTTTGAGTTGGAAATTAGGTAAAATTTGGTATAACTCAAAACTTATAAATTAAAAAATCCTATTATGTGAATTTGAACTTATTTTTATCTTTAACTAAAACTTTAGTGCTTATACATTTTTTTTATCTAAAACACTTAAAAAGAAGTAAATAATACTTAAATAAGTTTATTCAAATGGTTCTTAATCTTGAGAAAGCCTTTAAATTATGATTAGAAAAATCACACTACAAATAAGGTCAACTAACTGAAGTTTTAATAAATATTAAATAAATAATATGCATTTAATTCTATAGGTAGGTAACATTAATAATTAAAACTACAATAAATATATATTATATTTAAAACGAAACATAAATACTTCACATTTTTATTTTTATTTTTTTATAAAATACTTCAAAATCACTATATGAATTCCAGGTAAACACAGAATAAAGAACAATAATTTAAAATTTTATAGTATTAAATGCATATAAGAGGATAATAGGGATTTTGGTTAATTTGTAAAAAAAAAAATGAAGATAAAAGTAAATATACAAATATTGACAAAAGTTATCATGAAAAAATTTAGTTACTTCCTCCTCCCTACCGTAATGGTTGTCCAGTATACTAAAAATAGTTATCCAACATTACTTGTTCAATTTAGAAAACTAAGAGATAATTCACATGTTATTTTTATTTTACCTTTGCTATAAAATATTATTTTATCATCTAATACATTTCTCAAAACACTAAATTTAATAATGTTAAAGGATAATATAATAATATTACCCTTATTATTTATTGTTTCTTAAGGGTGTGTCAAATTAATAATCGACAACTATTGTTAGACAGAGCAAGTAATAAACTACGTGTACATATGGATTTACTATTAACTGTTTTCAATTAACCATGCATTGTGTTTGTGGTTTTAAGTTTCTTTGCTTGTGTTCTAATTGTAACCATAGAAAGAAAGCGGGGAGCGTGGTCCCTAGTCTCGTTTTTGCCGAGCCTGATTATGTATGGCATTAGTATAAAAAAAAATAACCTTTGAAATTACATGACAATATAGATGGACAAAAGTTAAACCATTATAACAATTTGTTAAGAGGTTTGTGATTTTTGTGGTGGTTAGTAAAATTGGTTGAGAAATGATTGGTGGGGTGCTGTAATATTCAATTTTGAAGAGATAGGAAGGGAGTAAATATAGGAAGTTGAAAGTGAAACAGAGAAAATAATGTGAAAAGAAGAGTTAGTATTTGTTTAGGCGCTGAGAAGAAGAGAAACTAGAAAAGAAACAGAAAAAGGGAATTCAATCATTGACAGTTTTCCAAGAAAGTGTCATAAAGCATTGATTCTCTGATTCCATTTTGTGGGATCGGAGGATCAAATCATTCTATTTGTCACCCTTCACATTTTGCTGCATGGTTCCTCTCACAAATCATGCATATGATATTTGAATGTCATATATAGAAAATCTAACCTAATCCTTGGAGAGAGAAAAAAAACAAGAAATGGCATTGCAAAGAAAAATGGAGGGGTGGCTTTGCCTTATTCGGTTGAACAGGTTAGGTCTGCAATATTCGCGAAAAAGGTATTTCATTCTCGAAGACAACTGCCTCAAAAGCTTCAAATTCATTCCCACTTCTCCAACAGAGGTACTGCAATCAAATTCAAAATTGTCAAGTCGAAAAATTATATGCTCGTAGGTGCAGGGGCGGACCTACCCAAACTATCTAGATTAAAAATTACATATAGGGTAGATTTTCAATGTTTATTCATATATACTTGAACCACCTAAATAAAAGAAGAGAGATAGAGCCAGTGGTATTGGACTTGGGCTACTTCTTAACTTCTAAAAATTTATTTCTTTGGACTTTGTACATTGCACTCTAGTTCACACATTTATATTTTTATTTTCTGAACCATGAGTGAAAATCCGGCACTAGGTAGGTTTATTTATGCCTTTGCACAAGTAAACTCCTCTATTTATCCTTTTGTTACTTCTTCTTAAGTCAGTTGAAATAAGGTACTAGATGGGCTTTTAGAATTGTTTCATCTTTAGTTTATTCAATTGAATGAGAATTATATTAATATTGGATTTCTGTTGTATGTTAGGAGCCAGTAAGAAGTGCAATAATAGACTCTTGCATCCGTGTCACCGACAATGGAAGAGAGACCTTTCATAGAAAAGTATTATGTTTTTACCTGTTTCATACTTTCAAGGGTTGCCTTTCTCCGGGTTTTTCTTATTAAATGATCTCAGTAGCTCCTTGTAGGTGTTATTCATTTTCACCTTCTCAAGGTACGCTCCGTTACCATTACTAAGTGAATTCAGGATATGGCTCAGATATACAAGTCATTATATTAATCTTCTCGTAGTTGGGAGCGACCAGTCCTGAAGAGGCCGCTAATTGGATACATTGTTTAAAGGATGCTGCACTCAACACAGAAAGAAGCTTAACTGCTCCTTCAAGAAGAAAATGGCAACCTTTCAGGTTAACCTTTAATTTTATATTCAAATAACTATTTTTAGAATATATACACTACAAATAGAAGATATATGTTGTACCTAATTTAAAAAACGAGAGTTAAAGAAAATAAACTAAAGTTCAACCCAACCTCAACAGTTAGCTTACAAAGTGAGGGTTGTCCAATACTATGTAAAGAGACTACTCATTCCATTCATAAAAGTACGCATGCCAACATTTTATGCACACTATGGATAACATATTAACATTAGGAAATACATTAATTACATGGATTTGACTGGCTCTGATATCTTGTTAAAGAAAATGAATCTTGGACCTATCTCAATCTCAAAGCCAACTCATGAGGTGAAGATTATTCAGAAACCATATAATGAGACAACAGCTCATTGTCTTAACACGTTGGACAATATAACAACTATGACATCATTATTTAAGAATAAAATGATATCGGAAGTCTTTCATTTTCAAAGCATCCTTCATTTTTTTCTTTCCTTTATTAATGTCAGCCATATACTTTACTTTGACATGTTGTGTTCAACAAGGGCTATAAAATTATATTAAAGTGCATCGTGATTTTTCGTTTTACTTTCTGTCTAAAGATATTTGATCTTAGGTTCTCGTATATCTATTTAGGCAGGTAGCATTTCTTAGACTGCTCATAATATGAACTCCATTTTGTTTAGTTGAGCATAAGGGAGCATTAAGGAATATAGTGATTGATTGATTAAACAGAAGAACTAGAGATTTTAATAAAATAATGGAATACATTCCACTTAAACCTCAACTTGTTTATATGTAACGGTGCCATAGATGATGTTATAGTGCCTTCCATAATTGAATAGAACAATTGAAGGTTATTAATGAAGAACTAAGCAATTTATCCATTAAGAATTAGTTTGGATGAGACACTTTAAAGTTTTGCTCAAATTTCCCTTTGAAAAAGGCTCATCCATACCATGATTTGTTAACTGAAATAACATAGATTAGCTAAACTTTTAACGGAGAACATGAATGATCATTTTCTCAAAGTTAGATGACATATTTGAGTCATTTCCCTTCTTTAAAATATTCAAAAGTGATTGCTAGTTCACTTTTTGGTCTTGGTGGCTTTATCTAGGTGGAGCAGGGTATATGTGCTCTCTAAATTGTACTTTTGGTTTTGCAGGTTGAGTGTTTCTAAAAGTGTTGCTCATAAAAGATCCATGGATATGGCAGATGCTTCTTTTATGCATGTCGATGCAATGACATTTGATGTTATTGCTCCTTCTCCATGGAAGATATTTGGCTGTCAAAATGGTACCAGTTAGATCTTTTATACTTTATATAAAGAAGACTCATATTACATCAGACAGAAATGATAGATGTTTACCTTTGTGTTTTCATACAGGCTTGCGACTGTTCAAAGAAGCGAAGGACAAAGGTTCAAATGGGAAAGTGTGTGCTATTTAGATAGGTTATGTATGACTTTCTTGATTTAGGTTGATATTTTGGTGTGACGTTTGTTTTTGTAACTCAGCAAAGGGATGGTTCTCCAGCAGTAATGGCAGTAGGTGTGATTGAAGGAACATCTGAGGCAATTTTCCGCACACTCATGTGTCTTGGTCAATCGAGAATAGAGTAATATTTTTGACTCCTCTTACAGTTCTTTCGATTGTTTGGCATATACTTGTTTCAATGTTAATTATGAGCTCGTACTATTTCCTGCATGATGACTAATATAGACAACCTGAATGGAGTTGAATAATGTACTTTGCGAGGAAATTTGTTCATGTACTTCTCTTTCTACAGATGGGACTTCTCTTTCTACAGAGGTTGTGTGGTTGAGCACCTCGATGGTCATACAGATATAGTACATATTCAACTATACAACCATTGGCTTCCCTGGTGAGGCGCATAACTATTACAAATTTCACCTCATAGTGTAAGTTTGAATTAACGTCTCATTTTTGCAGGGGAACAAAAAGAAGAGATTTGTTACTACGGCGTTACTGGAGAAGAGAGGAAGATGGCACATATGGTAATAAAAAAAATGTTCTATGAAATTATTAAGAAAAATATGTCATATGCTGAGTTACTTACTCTATCTATATGCAGTTATTCTCTATCATTCTGTCATTCACAGCAAGTGTCCGCCGCAAAATGGATATGTTCGTGCTTGCATTAAAAGTAATGTATTTTTTCTACTTTTAGATACTAAAATGGAATTCATATGTCATGTAGTAGTTCCCATTTCCATTCTGTGGTGACCATGCCTACACCATCTAAACCTCAAAAATAGGATAGTTAGGGTTGGCTATTCATCATAAATTGACTAGTTTTATGTCGGTTGCCGACCAACTGCAAGCCTCTTTCTTAACGGGTTTGGGACTGACAACATAAGTAAGTTCAAACAGGTGAACCACTCCTGTCCTTCAAACATTATTTTCTCATCAATAAATTTTCAGTTTCAAATGTAAGCTTAGCTTCCTTTTATTGTTGAACTCATTTCATTCTTTGTCATTGCCAATGAGGTTCCAACATTATCCTTAATATACCTAGAACTTGTTCCCAGGAATCCTAAAGGAAAAAAGGGTTATTGTACCATACCACTGTTCATTGGACAAAGTATGTGTGTCAGCAAGATCTGATGATCTCTTGTAATCAGATTCATACTCAAATAGGTTTCTTCAAATAATGTCATTTGAAGTACAACATGAGTCTAGTGTTCTTCCTTTTTCTAATATATTAAAAGTGGCAAAGCATGTTAATAAATATTTAATGAGTTTTAAAAGCTTAGATACTTTTTGAATTTTCTCAAGTATAAGTTGGTACCATATTCTTTCGTAAAAGAAAAAGAAGTAGCAGTGCCTACTTTTTAGAATAGATGCATCCACTTTTGACCACTGGACCAGTCGCTTAATAGAATAACATTGTGAAAAATAAATAACTCAAAGTAAATTAAGCTCAAGGATTTTACATGGAAACCCCCTTGCTCAAGGGAGGTGAAAACCACAACCTTTACTTACAAAATTTCAACTCAAACTCTATTTCACTCAAACAGAGCAAAGTTTAAGATTACAAACTCTTGCAACCTATGAATTAAACTCTTAATCCCTTCCCCCTTACTATAGAAACTCTACTACAAAAGAAACTGAGTAATAACTCAATTGCCCACTAAACCAACTAACTCTAGTTGATCTAGACTTCAACAACCAAACAAAGCTGACTATAGCTACCAATTCAGATCTCGAACATACGATCATAAGCAAGAAGCAACTCAGATGCACCCACACATCAACTAACTCTAGTTAACACTCCTATGCAACTCTAACCAAGAGAACATAAAAACAATTATGCAAAGAGGCTTGACTAAAACAAAGATGATTCGGCTAACTAAATCTAGTTAATCTGACTCAATGAATCTGATCTATTATCCTTTATAACTTAGGAATAAATTTACAATATAAGAACAATAGACACAAAGATCAAAATACAACAAAGACTCTTCCGAATTCCATCTGATCTCTTGTGGAGTATAGGTGGTGCTTATCCTTAAAGATGTCTTCTTCTTTATAAGCTTATTAATTTGGAAAAATGCACAAGTACCCCCCTAGACTATGATCAAAATCTCGGAGACACACCTTAACTAAACTAAGTTCCTATTACCCCTCTGAACTTATTCTTTTTGTAATCTTGCCCCTTTCTGGCTTAAGTGGCATCCAAATATCTCCCACGCGCCTCAATTGTGTGGGGTCGCGGAGTGAGCCACGTAAGACAAAAGGTGTATATTGTTACCAAAAAATAAGTTCAGAGGGGTAATAAAACCTTTGTTCTTTGAAATTTAGGTCATAGTCTAGGGGGGTACTTGTGCATTTTCCCTATTAATTTTAACAATTTAAGACATTGTTTTCCAAATCTTGAGTTGTGTCTTTGATGAAGACACTAATATGATATGGACACAAACCCTTGGAGCAAAGTCACTGGCTGAGAGTATGCTACTCTAAAAAGGTGTGCACCAACCATGTTAGATTTGACATCTTTTAGAAAGTTGTCTTTTGTCTTTTTCATGTATGATTTCTTTCCTCGACCAGGTCCCTTGTTAGATCCGATAGTTTGTTAAACCATCAATAGTCCAAATCACCTTAAAATAACAATTTACCCTTTTATGATTATGACAAACTAATATCTAATCACTTCAACTTTCGTCCCTTTGTTTCCTTCATTCCCCCTATCATCAGTCTGAATACTAGAAGCCTAAGTCATTCAAGAATCTGGTCCCTTGTTATATCCCGAAGATTGTTAAATCATCAAAACATAACATAAACTTCAAAATAACATTTCCCCCCTTTTTATAATGATAAACTTATTTAACTTCTTCCCCCTTTAACCAATTCCCCTATCAGCATGACTCTCCTAGTAATTGGCATTGATCCCTTGTTTATGATTTCAGAGGTTTGTTAAATAATCAACTCCAAAATGACCTTTGTGATGATGAAAAACTTATTCAACTTTCCCCTCTAATTTTCACAAGTTTCTCCTATCAGCATGACTAGGTCACTCTTTCAAGTTGCTAACACTGATTGCAAAACTTAGAAAATTTCCCCTTTTGACATCATAAAAATATTTAATAGTTCAACAAATTCATGGCCACTTGGACAACAGTAATCATGATAAAAAAAAATGCATAAAGTAATGATAAAAGTTAGTAGAAATAAGGCCTTCTTCATTCATAAATAAAAAATTCAGTAGTCAAAACATTGAAAATATTATTACGAATGAGAGAACCAGAACAATACCTATAGAATTTCAATTGAAGAGGAAGAATAGGGACTAGCATAGGAATTTAAGAAGAGATGGGGAGGGGGGCTTAAGAGCGAGGTATGAAATAGTAAGGTCAATAGAACATCTGCCTGAGCATGGTTTTTAAGGAGCCTCTCTTGAAGTTCATCATTTTTCGTTCCATGGCTTCATGTTGAATCTTTAGGGCTCTTGTTCTTTTCAACCTAGTTCATCTAATTGTGCTTTCAGAAGCTAAGCCTTGAGGCAAACTATTTCAATATCCTTGTTATAGCTTCCAATACAAGCTTGAGTTTCTCATGCTCCACCAATGGCTTAGACATATTACTCTTTTTCCGTAGTCTTTCCTTCCACACATTCACATTCCAAGTCAGAAGGTACCCATATATCATGTCATGTGTACCATCCTTAACATATATGATATTGTGCATATGTATTGATGAACTCAAACTCACTCAAGGGCTCCAAGATGAACAGATCAACAACCAAGGAACCATTTTTTCTTGTTTTAAAAAGTATCTAAGTGACAACATCTTAATGACAAACTTAAAGAACAATGAATATTTCCCTGTAGGATACTTCTTAGGAACACCTATCCTCTGAGATTTAGAGTTAAATGATTTTCCTAACAAACTATTGAAGTAGAACCTCCAACAATCTACTTGATCCCTTCCTTGGGAATATCCACAATATCACCCAAAATTTCCACATTTAGATGGAAGAGATAGTTGCCTACTTGAGTATTTAGACTCCCATCATCTATAACAACCATGTTGTAATAGAAGTCCCTCATACATGACTCATGCAACACATGTAAGTAACCTTCAAACAAATGGGTCCTTCTGTGAATATCTACAACATCAACCAGACTCCTCAAGCGTGATCTTATTTTTCATTTCAAGGTCAGCCGCCCTCCCATTCAGAATATTTTGAGTTCTCGAAATATCAACACTTGTTTTTTCTGGACATCATCTTTTCCACCTTTTTATTTTATTCTTGTTGTACCCGGTCCCTCTTTAGACTCAAGAATTTCTTCATCAAAAATCTCTTCACTAGGAACAGAGAGTTTAGACATTTTGAAATGTTTTTGAGAGAGGTGGAAAAAGGGTATCGAAAATTTCTGATATTGAAAGGGTATTTGAATTTTTTGGGGAGATTGAAAGAAACATGGAGATAAAAAGGGAGTGAAAGGGTGTATCAGGTCCCTGAAAGGAAGTGTCATTTTGTATTCAAAGGATGGGACAACTGTCAAATACTTGGATGATAGACACGTGGTAGTCGCAATTGTTCGATCATGCATATTTCGAGATGCAGTATTAGGAGTTCTAACCTTCGAGAATTGGTCGGGTCCCTCTGTAATTTAAAGATAATTTCCTATATCTATCATTACCTTCCTTTTCGTTCAACAATTATGTCATGTGTGTATACCTTCAAAAGGTATAAGATTGAATTTGCTAAAACATACATAACTAAAAAACATGAATCCATGTTCCCTTTGCATAGTCATGAGAGGGTTAATTGCTTCAGGCAAGATCCACTCAGTAAAGTTTAAGCATCCCGAACTTCAATTTGTTTTGTCTCGACCAGGTCCTTAATTAGAGCTTTTTTTTTGTGAAGATATCAACAATTTGATCTTTGCTTTTATAGAATTGCATACTGATATTTCCTTTGTCAATAATATCCCTCAGAAAGTGATGTCTCACAACAATATACTTAGTCCATTAATGATAGAGTTGTTTTTTTAGCCATGTTGAGAGCACTCATGTTATCCCACAATTGAAGGATATCTGAGTTACCACTCTAAAAACTTCAAATTTTTGTTTGATCCTTATGATTTGAACACACCAACTGCATCCTCAGTTTATGAAAGATCAATCAAATCTTGTCTTTTAGTTCCTTATGAAATTATAGATGAACCTATAAAAGAAGTCATTCTTCATGTACTCTTTTTGTCAACTTTATACCTTGCATAATCAACATGAACATATTCCTCCATATAAAAAGAATATCCCATAATCAAAACTCACTACTCATTAGTGCAACAAATTCTTCACACGGGACCTTAAAGGTTTCTCCAAAGATAATATCATCGATATATACTTGAAAAATCAACAAGTTATTTTCTTGTGATTTCGAAAAGAGGGTTTTGTCAATTACCTCTTTTGAAACTATTGTCTAAAAGGAACTTGGATAACCTATCAACTGGTCAGGAACCAAGTGTCATGCTTTGCTTCTTTCAAACTGAGCTTGATCAGCTTCTTCATTCTCACCTTCAAAATCTTCATTATTAGTTTGAACACAATCATCTTTGCTCAACATTGTCTACAAGACTAGGTTACCCATTAGGTTAATCAGTTGCATCGGCTTCCTTTGGGATTTCTAGATTCGTGAGAAGGATGTTCTTTAACAAGTTCACCGTTTAGACAGTCTCTTTGAATCTGAATGAGCTTTTAAATCGCAGAATCCTCTTTGTTTTGTGAATTCTCAATTCTTCTGGACTTATAAAAGAATATGAAGACTTTCTTCGATGCACAATTATTTTTATATACACCCGATAAGCCTTGCCGGAGGATGAATATCCCATAAATACTCTTTCAACATTATTGGGACCAAATTTCCTAATATCATCATTCCCATTGTTTAGAACAAAACATGCACAACCAAAAGCCTTCAGATAACTCAACTGAGGCTTTCTATTGTTGAGTAGTTAGTAAGGAGTTTTGTTGAGGATTAACCTGATTAGACACATGCTAGTTACATAGAAACATAATCCAAGTGAACCTTAAGAAGTCATCACAATCAGAAAAATATACTTCCTTTCTTCTCTGCTCTAAATCTTCACTAGACCATACAGATACATATGGAGCCGCTCAAGAGGTTTGATGATGCCAGTTGGTTCTTTTTTTTTAATGATGAGTTGGTTCGATTCCTCTTAAAATAAGTACCAAACTGATGCTACCTCCTCTGACTTGCATAGAAAATCACTTCTTAGCCTTGGGAACCCATTTTAGATGGAGTTCCTAGTAAGCAAATATAGGAGTCATAAGAAATTCTTTTTGTCCAGTTTGGCAGACTGGAATTCTTCAACTTAAGATCAGAAGCAAGATCCATGCATGTTTCTCTATTTGGAGTAGTTTGAAAAACTTTCTTATGTTTTTACCAGTGAAGACAATCTATATTAAGATGTTTATTTCGACCACAATGCAAGCACAAAAAATTATCATCAACAGAAACATATTCGTTGTGAGGAATATATGGAGGATATATCTTCTCACAACCCAACCCTCTTCTACTGTTGTTACCCTGCCTAGTTAAATTTGTATGAATTTTAAAGAAAGTGGTCCATTTGAGGGATTTGTTTAGTTCCTCTTTTACACGAACTGGGTCCCCCCCCCCCTCAACTTATTTTAAACTTCCATCTGCAAGTTGCTGACCTCGTTCTTTCTTTTAGAAACTCTTGTGGTCACTCTTTTTATCTCTTCCAGATTCTAGATTTTCAACTTCTAGAACGACCATTTGTTTTTAATATAAGATATTTGGGTATCTAGAGAAATTTTTCCATCTTGAAAGATGTCTAAGATATTGTTCAATAGATCATTCTCAGTGGTTAGCTCACTGATTGAATCAATTAGTTCCACAACTAGCTTTCTCAATTCGCTGATCAAGAAGATACTCACATTTCGCTTGACCAGTCAAATAGGGTTAGCTCATCTTTATCATTATCCTCTTTTCATTTTGCCATAAACGCAAACATGGAATCAAACATTTCTTCATCTTCTGTTACTGCTAACATGGAAAAATCATCAGAGTGTTCAAAATCATCTGAATCACTTGAGGTATTTCCTTAGATGGCCAGACCTTTCTTCACCACGTAATCACAAGTTTATCTTCTCTTTGACGTTTCAGCAACCTTGTCCCTTCTATCATCCTTGTCTACTTCATACTTGACATACTCTTTGCTCACCCTTGTGCAGATCTCTGATGAAGTGACATGGTTTACCACACTTATGTCACAGATCATTTGAGTTTGTAGTGTTGTCAAGATTTCATTTCTTTGTAAGATATTCATGTTTTATCATGATTTTTTGAAGTGAGATAGGCCATGATCTCATCTTCTTCATGGATTTTACTTTATGAAACCTTCAAAGCAAGTGATAATTTATCCTTTTATGAATATTTCTTCCAATAAGCCTCATTAATCGGATCCAACCTTTTCTCTTAACCTTTGAGAATGAGGTCGCCCCTTATTCTATGCATCTTATGAACTTGAAGTTTATCAAATACTGTATGCAACGTCAATACTTCAGGATCCCTTGTCTCATCGACAATATCAACTTCATATGTCCAAGATCCGGGAAGAATCTCCAGTATATTAGAGATCTTCTTGCACGTAGTGATAGGTTTTCCACGAACATCAGATCATTTCAAATGATGGAGAATCTAGTACGCATTTCATAAATAGATTCACCTTTTTCATGGTGAAGATTTTAAACTGAGAGGACATCTAACTTAGATTTCTTTGTTTGCTTAGTATCATTGTACATTGTACTCAAACGATCCCAGATTCTGATTCACAAGACGAAATTACGTCATATTCATTAGCCCGAATGCCCACACATTAAAAACTTATTAGCTTTGTGATTTTCTCAACTTTTCTTTTGTCTGAGTCATTATATTGTTGTTGGGTTTAGGGAACTAACCTTATGACATCCCCATCTTTTACTTTTATAGTAGGAACATAGGAACCTTCACAAACAACAAACCATAGCTTACATTCCTCAACCATCATACAGTCATACATACAACTATTCCACCATCTATAGAACTAACCATCCAAAAGTGGTGGCCTTAAAGGAGATTGACCTTTTCTCAGATCTAATGGAGTCGCCCTTGTTCAGAGGAATCTCTCTCTTAGTGTTACCCAAATAGAGAGCCTGAGCTCTGATACCAACTATTAGAATAGATGTTTCCAGACTAGACCAGGACCCTCAATATAATAATAGTGTGGAAAATAAATAACTCAAAGTAAATCAAGCAAAAGGATTTTACATGGAAAACCCCTTGCTCAAGGGAGGTGATAACCACAATTTGTACTCATAGGATTTCAACTCAAACTCCCTACTCAAACGAAGCAAAGTTTCATACTACAAACTCTTGCAACCTAGTTATTGAACTCTTAATCCCTTCCCCTTTACTATAGCAACTAAACTGCAAAAGAAACTAAGCAATAACTCTATTTCCACTAAACTAACTAACTCTAGTTGATCTAGACTTCAAGAACCCAACAAGGCTAACTCTAGCCACCAACTTAGATCTCAAAGATAAGAGCATAAACAAGAAGCAACTCGGTTGCAGCCATACATCAACTAACTCTAGTTGACACTCCTAGGCAAATCCACCCAAGAGTACATTGAAACAATAATGTATAGAGTCTTGAGTAAACTATACATGATATGACTAACTAACTCTAGTTAAACCGACTCAACCTAACGACTTAGACAAGCAACAAATCTACAATCCTTTACAACTTAGGAGTAGATTTATAATATAAGAACACAAGACACAAGACTCAAAATACAACAAAGACTCTATAGCACTCCATCAGGTCCCTTATTGAGTATGAATAGTCTTTATCCTTGAAGATGACTTCTTCTTTGTAAGCTTATGAATTTTCTCAATTCAAGACATTATGCCAAATCTTGAGTTGTGTCTTAAGAGAAGAGACTCATATGGTATGGACACAAACCCTTGGAGCAAATATATTGCCTAACAGTCTGCTACTCTAAAAAGTTGTGCACCAACCATGTCTGATTTTATAGCATTTAGACAACTATAATTTTGTCTTTTTCATATACGCAGTCTTTCCTTCACTAGGTTGCTTGTTAGATCTGAAAGTCCATTAAATCATACATAATTTCAAATAAGCATAAAGTAACACTACTTTTCCTTTGTTTTACTCCATATTTGTTTGGGTTGTTTTTCCTTTTCATAGGGCTGTGTTTTTATTAAGACATGCATGAGTTCCTTACATTTTTTTCTGATGCATTATTTTGGAAATTGTTTAGGTGGTGGACATGTTATAACTCCAACCAAACATGATAAACCGTCTATTGTTAAGCATATGATTTCTATTGATTGGAAGTTATGGAAACCTTATATGAAGAAAGGGGCTACGGTATCCATGACCATCCGCTTCCTTGAGAGAATTGCTGGTATTTTTCAGTGCACGAAAAAAGAAATGGACCATTTTATAGTGCATGTTTCATTGATATACCTTGTGTTTTCCTCTTTTATGTTACAGCATTAAGAGAGATGTTCAAAGCAAAGGAAGGGAACTACTTCTCAGAGTTGTCACCGGCTGTGCTGACAAGCGATATTGACCTGCCTGTTATTGAAAAGGAAGAGATCAAAATAGAAGTCGATTATAAAATGATCACAGATGAAAGAGTGAATGAGGCAAAAAATCCAGTATCTTCAAATCTCACCAGATTGGATGATGCAGCTGATGAGTTTTATGATGTTCCTGAACCATCAGATGACGAACACTCAGACCTCGCTTGGGCTTCAAATGCAAGTCCAGAAGTGGGTTGTATGGTACACTTTAGTATCTATAATCTCCCAATATCTTTTATTACTTTTTAGAACTGGTTAAGCATGAATTTTTTATCACACATATCAAAAACAACTTTTAGCGGCATTAAATACGCACACATTAACAAAGAGTCTAAAGTCTTTACTGACATTAGTTAACTGTCATTAGATCCAGCGTCCTATAGGTTTTAGGAACATATACAAAGAATGTTAATTTCCACTAAAAATACATATTTAGAGGCAATTAAGCAATTGCCGTTAGATAATTTTTGCTACATTTTTTTTTGTTGTAGTGTCGTTATTATATCATTTATCAAAATTGTTTTATGGCAAAGTTCTTTTATCCTTTAATTCGCAGGAATCTTACCACACAAAATTGACCACGGCAAATATTGTGAAAAAGTTACAAGATCTTACAGGTTAATGTTGTTTAATTGAAAGGCAGTGAAGACTTGAAAATGAAGAATGCTTTATGTTATTGTTGTAACTCTGAGTTAATGATATGTTGTCTACGTTTTCAAATGTTGCAGTTCAGAAAAAGGGTTATATGGACTTGCAAGAAATGGCTCGAGATCAAGAGTGTGTCTCGTTTTTCTATGGAGCAACTCTTCAAAAAGATAAAAGTTTTGGTATACCCTGCAGTTGGGCTGCTGCCGATCCATCGTCATTTTTGATTCGTGCTGATAGTTACTTGGCAGACCAAGAAAAGGTTCTCTCTCTTATTAGTAATGACTTGTAAAATATCATGTTTTATATAATACTCTAAAAAATTACGGCTTTTAGCTTTTAGCCTATAAGCCACTTAAAAAAATAATTCCAAACACGTTAGTCATACCAAACTTTTGGTTTTTGGTTTTTTTTTGTACTTTTTCAGCCTAAAAAAGTGTTAAGAATTTTTATGGTTTCTCAAACACCTCAACAGATGAATTTTTAAAAAAGTTTAAAAGTCAAAAGATACTTCAAATAAATCAAACCAAAATTCCTAGATATCTACTACATATAGTTGTTCTACGCATGCAAACCTTAGTTGAATCCATGGCATGTAAATGTTATGTTGATTGTAGTAGTTCATGATTTTTTTTAGGTTAAGGCCAAGAGTACCTTGTTGCAAATGGTTGCAGCTGATTGGTTAAGATCTGACAGACGTGAAGATGACCTTGCTAGTCGCCCCGGAGGCATAGTTCAGGTAACTTTTTATTCTTTTCAAGACTGATGCCGAAAAGTTCAATAGAGTATCTATCTAAAACTTGTCTTGCAATGTACAGAGATATGCGTCTCAGGGTAGGGCGGAGTTCTTTTTCATTATCAACATCCAGGTCATTTCTTCAGCTTACAAATGTATAATAATCAAACACCTAGACTTTCTAATCTTAAATATTTCCATTCCATTGAATGAATCAGGTTCCGGGAGCAACCACTTACAATCTTGCTCTATATTACATGTTGACATCTCCTTTGGAAGAAACACCGTTACTTGAGCGCTTTGTCAATGGAGATGATTCTTTCAGGAATTCAAGGTTTAAGCTTATACCATATATCTCCAAGGTTGGTATATTAGAGGCATGAAGCAAGATTTTAGCTAAACATAATAGGCACAATACGTAAATATGCCCTTTAACTTGGCTTCAGTTGGCATTTTCGATCTCCGACTTTGAGTGCGCAATAAGCAGACACTTCAACTTATATAAAATTGAACAGTTCTTTCTTGGCGGTGTCCTGCAAGTTTAAGTGTCTAGTTACACACACCCAAAGTTGGAGAGTATAAGTTTATGTTGAAGCAAAGTTAAAAAGCACATTTATGTATTATGTCAACAAAACATAATTTAAAGTTCATTTGTCTTCACTTAAAGGAATATACAAGCATCCCATATTAAAAGTTTTACTGACTAATAATCCATAGGGATCTTGGATAGTGAAGCAAAGTGTTGGTAAGAAAGCTTGCTTGGTTGGTCAAGCACTAGAAGTGCATTATTTTCAAGGAAGAAATTACCTAGAGGTAAAACGCACAATAAAGAGGACGTCATTACTAACCAAAAAACTCTTTCTTGTTACGCTCTCATTTCAAATACTAACCAGGAAATTTGTGTTGATATTTCAGCTTGGCATTGACGTTGGATCATCAACAGTGGCACGGGGTGTGGTCAGCCTTGTTCTCGGATACTTAAACAATCTTGTTATCGAAATGGCATTTTTGATACAAGTATAAATCATCATCTTTTTAATATTATACTCCCTTCTTTTATCATCTTGAAAATAGTTGCATATGTTTAATTCATATTTTTATAGGGGAATACGCCAGAAGAACTCCCAGAATTTCTTCTAGGAACATGTCGATTGAACCATCTAGACGTCTCCAAATCGATTCAAACAGACTCCGTAAGAATCAGCTAAACCAAATATTTTTTAGAAAAAAGTTGCATTACTGCAGGGGTCTATTAATCTAGCAGAAGAATGAAGATAGGTAATGGAAAGCTCATATTGATTGATTCATATTTTTATTTTGTTAATCCGTGCATCTTAATTATGGTGATTAGGCATTTGCTTAATCTATATATGTATTAATTAATATAGAAAAAATATATAACAAGTGCCTTGGATATTTGTTCAATCCATATAGGCATTCTTTTACATTAAGATCATTTGAATTTTGAAGTATATATTTGTTGATTTTTATTTGAAGATGGAGGGTTATTCAATTTGTAAATTTTTCTCATTTTAAATAAAATTTCCATTCTTGGAACATACAAATTCTTCAATAACTGCTCTTGTTAGTTTCTATATTTTATATATTTAAGCATGTGTTTGGCACCAAGAAGGAGAGTGTTATAAATAACTTATTTAAATGTCATAATATAATAAAGGTATAATACATATATTGAACCCTAAACTTGGCTTTAAATTTTAACTTTGACCTCCAACTTTCATAGTGCACAAATAGGCACTTTAACTATCCATTTTTTAAATAAATAAACACATGAGTCCTATATGATAAAATACACGTAGGAGAAAAAATAACATGTAGGATGACATGTAGGACATGTGTGTCTATTTGTTCAATTTTATACAAGTTTAAGTGTCTATTTGTGCACATCCAAAGTTTAAGTGCATAAATGTGATTTGAAGCCAAGTTAAAGGACACATTTATATATTATGTCTATAATAAACATGTGTTTAACTTGGACTCATTTTGAATTTATGTCCTCCAACTTTGAGTGTGCATAAAAAGACTCTTAAATTTGTATAAAATTAAACAAATAGACACATACGACATACCTGACATCCTACATGAAAATTTACATCCTATGGGGTGTCCTACATGTATTATTTCACATAGGACTCGTGTGTCTACTTATTCAACTTTATAAAAGTTTAAGTGTCTAATTGTGTACACACAAAGTTAAACTTTATAAATGTGAAATGAGGCTAAGTTAAAGAAAACATTTATATATTATGCCTAATTAAATTGGTGTATACACTGTCCTTAGAGATACTCATAGTGTTACCATAATAATAATAATAATAATAATAATAATAATAATAATAATAATAATGTAATGGTAATTATGTGGAGTTAAGTAACATTTAGTGTATCTTGACATAAAACAATTCTGTAAGGACACGAGTAATAACTTGTGAGTTATTGTTAGAACAACATCTTTAGTGTATCTCAACATACAAACAATTCTTTAAGGATGCGACTAGTAACTTGCAAGTTATTGTTACAACAACATATTTAGTGTATCTCGACATAAAACAATTCTGTAAGGATGCAGGTAATAATTTTTGAGTTATTGTTACAACAACATATTTAGTGTAATTTTCTCACTGGCAATAAGAGTGTATATGTATGGGTTCGTTCAAGTTTATCAAATATCAAACCAAATTATTTGTGTCGAATTTTCAAATCTATAAACCAAAGAAAATTAATAAAACTCAAAATTTTTGACCTAGCGTTCTTTTTTCTAACTAAGTATTCATATAAACATAAAAAGGCATGGAGTCGTAGAAGCTACTAACAAGAATGTCAAAAAGATCTTGAGAAAGATGGTTGATAGTCATAGAGGTTGGCATGTGATGTTACCATATGCCTTGTTGGGATACCAAACAACCAGTAGAACATCAATTGGAGCAACTCCATACTTGCTAGTGTATGGGATAGAAACAGTGATACATGTTGGAGTTGAAATACCTTTATTGAGGATCACTAAAGAAGATGAACTGGGCAATGTTGATTGGGTTCACAATCAGATTGAACACTTAGACTTAATGGATGAAAATTAAAGATGATGACTGTTGTTTTTCATGGCCTATTATATCAACAGAGAATGATTCGTTCTTTCAACAAAAGAGTGAGATTTCGACCATTTGAAGAAGGACAATTGGTCCTCAGACACATTTTCCCTCATCAAAATGAGTACAAGGGAAAATATACACCGAATTAGCATGGACCATACATGGTTCATGAAGTTCTATCTGGAGGTGCTTGGATCCTGTTAGAGATGGACGGACAAGAGTGGCCAAAGCCAATCAACTCACATGTTGTCAACAGATACTATGTCTGAATATTAATTTTTCTCTTATATATTTCCTTCTAATCATATCATTTGCTTACAATTACTTTTGCTTAGCTTTTATATTTCTATATAAACTACATCTTACATGAATACTCAAGAATGATATATGTAGACGTCCTATGACGGCCTCAGTCACCGTTTTATCATTTTTTATATTTTCTTGTATTTGAACTACTTTTAACCTAAATTCTCAAGAATGAGATACGTAGGATGCATCAGAAATGCAACTTGGCATAATTTTTTAGAAGATCTCAAAAATTCTACAAGTCTTCCTACCAGAAGTTTAAGAAATGTCAAGACATTTCACTAGGATAGAAAATTTGAGAAGATCTCAAAATTTCCTTCAAGAATTTCAGAAGTAATCTTCAGCATGATCAAAAGCTCACGATCAACTCCAAATGAACCGCAAAAATGCTAAAAAGTTAAAGTTAATAATCTTCTAATTTTATAACAAAAGGGAATTTCAAACGTTCAAACCAGCTATTGTATATGTCAAAATCTCAAACTCGAGTGTTCATTTAAGCTTTAACATGACATGAGAGAAATCAATGAACTCAACACATATTAGTTCATTTAAAACTAATAAAAAAATTATGGATGCAGGTTTACAAGGATATCATGATATCACAATATCCTTCTATACAAAAAATATGAAAAAATCAAAAGAGTAAAAACACCCATGGATGACATTTTTTTGGATACAGAAAATGATATTAATATTACCGAGACAAAAGCAAGCAACTTGATATTTAGAAGAATAATGTCTTGCTCATATTTCCCAGAAAAACAAGTTCCACAACGATCATACAAGTGTTCAAAGGAAAAATAGGTGAAAGAACTGAGAGGACGATACTTTAAGATGTATAAATGACATTCATATCGCATTTCTTAGCATTAAAGACATCTGAAGGGTGTTAGTTTAAATTTTTGATGATAATCAATTTAACTATTTTGGGACAACTCAAATCATCAAAAAGGAAGAATCAAATAAGAAGAAGATTCTCATAGCAAGATTGAAGATCATCAATCAAGGAGGTTGAAATATGAAATGCATAAATCATGTAAGATCGCAAACCAAGGAAGATCACAAACCACCTGCCAATAAATCATAAAAATGTAAGATCTTGATTAGATCTCCAATGGCCCTATTAAATCAAGGAAGTTGCAACAATAAATCAATCAAGAAGGAAATGGATCTCCAAAGGATTGCATACAATTCAAGGAAGTTGTAAGAATGAATCAAATAAGAAAGGAAGGGATCTTCAAAGGCTATATACAATAAAGAGAGTTACTAAGTAGAGACATAAGGAAATGATCACAAAAGGTTGTATACAAGCTATTAAGGCTAAATCAATGAATAACTTAATCTTTATTCTTGGAAAATAAGGATATCCAGCTTTTTTTCAAGGATCAAATCTCTTGGGTTGCCATCTTTCTTAGGAGAAGATTCAAGTCTCAACCCTACATAAAGACATGACATTGCAAATGGAAAGATAGTACAATGAGTCTAAATCATCACACCGCTCTCTACTCTACTTTTGATAAGCATTGTATTACTTAATTTCTACTATGTAAACAAAAAAGAGAGAAGAGAAAAAAATTATTGGTAAGGCGTTGTATCAAAATAGAAGAGTGAAAAGAAACAGGGTGTAAATTGGGAATTCACACTCAACTTTGTACTCTCATCAAAAGTTACCAAGGCTAGAAGAAAACACCCTTACAACCCAAGGCAACTGGACGTAAGATCTGCATTGGATCCCAACCTGAATAAAAATTATTGTGTCAAGTTTACTTTATGCATTTTCTATTCCATTCATACATGTCTAAAATATGTAGTCGACTGAGGTTCCTCTCAAGTCAACTACTCACAAGAAAAAAATCAAAAAAATAATAGCAAGTACTTTCCCTCCCCTTGTTGCGCTTTCAATTGGTATTAGAGCCTTATTTCACAGAAAGTTTGTCTAACAACTGGTGAGGAAAATATCATGGCTAAGCAAATCATGGGTGCACTTCTCCAAGAAGGTACATCTCAAACAAGACCATCATACTTTAATAAAAACACTTCTCTCATTGGAAAGTAAGAATCGAAACATTCATAAAATCCTACAATGTGCAGGTTTGAAGAGTCACTAAACAGGGTGATATTCCAATCCCAATTTCCAACACTTGTGATGAAAATCATTCCTCTTCTATGCCAAGCTTGGAAAATTATACAAATGAACAGATGGAAAGTATTCAAATAAATTCCAAACCAAAGGATGTTTTGTATAATGCTATCACTAGAGAAGAATATAAGAAGATATCATGTTGTGACACTGCCGAAGAGATGTGGGATTAACTGGAGATTACATATGAAGGAACTAATAAAGTTAAAGAAACAATCATCACTCTACTAGTGTATGAATACGAACTTTTTCAAATGAAGGAAGGAGAAACCATTGAAGACATGTTTCTTCGAATTAGTAAGATCATTGGAGAACTAAATGCCTCGGGAAAAATATATCCTCCCATAAAGCACATAAGAAGACTTCTTCAAAGCCTACCACCTCAATGGCACGCTAAGGTTGTTGCTCTTGAAAGCATGAACTTGAACAATCTAACCTATGATGAAGTAAGAGGAGATTTAATAGCTTTTCAAAAAATCCATCCGAGCAAGAAAAGCCAAGAAGACAACAAGAACACGATAATACCTTTTAAAGAAGATCAAGAACACAAAGGAAAAGATGAACTAGCAGAGGATGAAATTACTTTAATCACTAGATCAGTTAGGGATCCTTCAAAAGATCAAGAAACAACACAATAGGAAGGAATTTTGGGATGTTGTTGATCAATCAAGAAATGATGGAAAATGTTACGAATGTTTAAAGTATTGACATATAGCCAGTGAATGTCCAGAAGAAAAGAAGAAGTAATCCAGAGGAAACCAAAAGAACAAAGCACTAAGATGCTGGAGCGACGAAGACAACTCAAAGAATGAACACAAAGAAATTGGAAAAATATGATTCATGGCAGTCGGAGAGTTGAGCAAAGAGGTATGTAACAATTGTAATGATTTGAAATTTGAGAAATATGCTAGATCATGTTGTGTCTGATTTTA